ACCACAAGATCCAGTCACTACTGAGGAAGCTACTCACTGACCAGGAACATCAGATGTTTGTCAGTGTTCTCTAAAGAAACAGAATCAGTATGATGTAAAAGATAGGTAGACAGATAGATAGATAGATAGATAGATAGATAGATAGATAGATAGATGATAGATATTACAAACAACACAATGATATAGTATATGTTTATTGTATGGCATGAGCTCATATGACTTTGAAGGTTGAGAAATCTCATGGTCTGTCTTCTCCAAGTTGTAGATCCAGAAAGTCAGTGGCATAGATCCAAGACTTGAGATCCAGAGAGCTTCTGGTGTAGACACCAGTCTCAAACCAAAGGCTTGGGCACCAGAAGTGCTAAGTGCAAAGGAAGATCAATGTCCCAGCTCATGTATGCAGGTAGAAAGTAAATTCAATCTTTGTGTGCCTTTTTGTTCTCAAGCCCTTAACAGCTTGAATGATGCCTACGTACATTGGTAAGGGCAATCTATTTTATTTAGTCTACCAATTCCAATGCTAATTTCATCCAAAAGCACACGCAGAAGTAATGTATTATTAGATATGTGGACCTCTTGTTGCCCAATCAAGTTGACACAAAATTAACCTTCACCACCCACAATGATCGATGTATGAGCCAGAAGTAAATTGATTGTGTTCAACCACCATAACTGTGTTTCATTACTGCTGTTGTTGCTACAGCAGCTAATGTTACCTAATACACCTTTTACTGGAATTTTAAGTCCAGATTAAAATTCAAGACAAACTGTGAACTCCCTTAGGCCAAAGTCTGTGCCTTTTGTAAGAACCCCTCATCTTATACCCTGGAACCTAGTAGTTCCCAGGATATGGTTTTCAGATGAAGGAACTGATACTGACCTAAATGTAAAGGGTATTCAATAATCTAGAAACATCCCAAGAGCTTCTCAGAAACCAGTAGAGTAATCACAACAGAAGAGTTCTAGGTCACACTGAGATGTCCCTAAATCACACAGTAACCTAAGTTATACTGTGGCCTCCTAGTGAATATATTACTGTAGTTATCAGTACTGTTAACTCTACTGCAATAAACTACTGCTAGTTATCAAAGGTCTTCCATATAGCAGTCACTACTTGGTATTGTACATACACATATTTAGTAACTATACCCACACTTTAAGATGTGTGTTCAGATGTTTTACTACTTTGGCAGGGTTCCCATAATAAAATACTGAAGACTTCAACAAAAGAAATGTATTTTCTCACAGTTGTTAAGGCTAGAAGTCCAGGGGCAAGGAAACAGTAGAATTAGTTCCTCCTTGGGTCTCTCTTTATGGTTTAGAAGTAGCCATGTTCTTAATCCTCAGTCAAATGTGAACCAGCACAAAGAATCAACAAGTGGGATCTCTTCTTATTAAAAAGCTTCTACACAGCAAGAGAAACCATCAACAGTGTGAAGAGACAACCCACAATGTGGGAAAAAAATTTTACCAGCTGTTTCTCAGAGAAAGGTCTACTATCTAGAATATATAAAGAACTTTAAAAAAATGAGACCTCCAAAATTGAAAGACCCAATCCAAAAATGAGCATCTGAAATGAACAGACATTTCTCAGACAAAGAAGTAGAACTAGCAAAGAAACATATGAAAAAATGTTCAACATCACTGGTCATTCGAGAGATGAAAATGAAAACAACACTGAGATTCCACTTCACCCCAGAAAGAATGGCTGTTATCAAGAAATCAACCAATAACAGATGCTGGCAGGGCTGTGGGGAAAGAGGAACCCTGTTCCACTGCTAGTGGGAGTGTAGACTGGTGCAACCACTGTGGAAATCAGTATGGAGATACCTCAAAGAACTAGAATTAGAGGATCCATTTGACTCAGCTATTCCCCTGCTGGGTATCTTACCCAAAGAATTAAAAGAATCATACCACAGTGATACATGTGCACCCATGTTTATAGTGGCACAGTTTGTAATAGCTAAAACTTGGAAACAGCCCAATTACCCATCAATTGGAGACTGGATAATGAAAATATTTTTATATAAAATGGAGTGCTACTCAGCCATAATGAATGGGCAATTAGAGACATTTATTGCTAAATGGATGCACATTGAGGCCATACTCTTAAGTGAAATAAAAAGGACATACATGTGTAAATACCGAAGTTTCTCTGGTGTGAAAAGCTGAAAGTGTAAATAATGATCAGAAGGTATAATAGATAATGTGAAATAGGAAGAAAAGGGGCAAAGGGGAAGGGGAAGTGGGAGGGGTAGGGGAAAGAAATAAATATGAGAAAAGAAAAAAAACGGAAACAAAGTCTTTGTAAATAGGGAGGGATAGAAGGGGTGAAGGGAGGGCAGGAGAATGGGGAAAAAATAAGAACCAAGACACATCATGTAAAGGTACAAATTCCCAATGATGACTGTCAGAATATTGTATACCTAAAATGTACCAATAAACTTAATGAATGAAAAAAAGAAGCAATAGCCAAGTTTTCTTTGTCCCTACATGGTCTTCCCTTTGTGAACATCCGTGTTCTAATCTCTTTTTTTAAGAGCACTAGTCAGATTAAGCTAAGACCCCCCTAATTACCTCATTTTAATGCAGCTGCCTTTTTAAAGGACTTACCTCCAAATACAGTCACATTCTGAGGTACTGGGAATTAAGAATTATGCATATAAATTTTAAGAGTATACAATTCAGCCCATATGAGACCTGCATCCAACAAAGAAAGAAAGAGAGGTTAGAATTAGAGTGTGCATTACAGCCTAGCTTTGAGCCCAGGATCTTGAATAAAAACCCCCTGTTCTTTAACATGACAGCGTATTTGCTCCACCACCGGATGTTCCCAGGGGTGGATTCTGAGCGTTCATTTTTGATGCTCTGCATTGCAGTTAACATTTCCGGGTGTTTCCTCATTCCTGCTGTCTATGAGTCCACTGGCCTAATCTCCAGGTGTTCTGCAGGTAGTTGAGAGACATTTTGGAGTGTGCCTTTGATGGTCATACTTTCCTTCTGGAAATGTATTCAGGACCTCCAGAGATCAGCCAGTTCAAATCAGAAACATCACCCCTGCAGAACAGCCCTTTGGGCCTTTTAAGTAACATACATGAAAGGTCGCAGGGCTGTATTTTTCTTTTCTCAATCACTTTGAAATCATGTGTAAGCTGCCCTTCTCTGTTTCTTCTTCCTCTGTCTCGGATCAGGAGAGGCCTTCTAGGTTTTTCTTATCCCTCATCTCCAGACTAGATGGTACTACTACCATGCTAATGTCAGTTGTCCCTTTCTACAATGATAATGTCAATTGGCCCTTTCTTCTTGCTCACCATGACCTGTGGCTGCATTAAAAACTGTGGATCCCAGGGCTTCCTAATTAGACTCCCTACATTTAGTCTCTCCAGGTCATGGGTCTAATAAAAACCTGAATTTCTCTGTGTCACCCATAAACTTAACAGTACTCACATCAGCAGGGAGGAGATGAGGCGTGTTATTCCCTCACCCCGGTCTCAAGTCTTCCTCCACTTTCCTTTTACACCCCTCACAGAGTGGAACGCCTCGCAATCACAGTCCCCACTCTCTGGTTTTCACCTCCTCTCTGCTTGTGAATGCTTCCACCTATCTTCCTGTCACCCTTTAGAGTCAATGTGACATCAATTTGCAAGAAAATCTTCTCCCATAGTGATTTAAGTCTCTTTTCTGGACAGCTATTCCCCACCACTACTTACTGGACCATAACTTCCTATTCTAATCTCTATCATTGCAGTTACTCACTGCGCTGTTTCCATGCTGGGTGTGTCCATCTTTCCAACAAGACCATGAGCTTTTGCAGAACAGCAGCTGGATGGTCATTATTCAAGCGTAGTTTTTATCAGAGTCCTTAAAGTAGACCCTCAGTCAGTGATGAGCTGAGGGCATGGTTCCTAAGTGCCCTTAGCTAAACACAGGAGATTTCAGGTTCTTAACTGCGTCCAAAGCAAGATATGCAAAGAACTGAGCCAGTCTTAAATCCCTCTTCATTTGCCCTATTCATTGGCTGAGAAACAGAAATGCAAATAAAATCTTAAGAACAACTCAAGACAGTATACCATTTTTCAAAGCATGTAGGTAAATGAAACTCAAATAATCTCTAGGTTTTTCTAACTGTGGAGTTATGCTGACAATATGAAGGAGAACATAAACTCTGTTCCTGATTCTGGCCTCCACTGGCAGTTAATATTCGAGAGAAGACTCACACCTCAGGATTCGCCTCACAGGGATACCATCCCTATTTTCAGACCCATATCATGCCTTTACCAAGAAACAAAGTAGAAACTGGTCAACTAAGTGCAGTTTAGATAGAGACCTAGCAATCTTGTACCTGGTGAAAAAGAAAGGAAGTTGCTCTTTGGGGCAGAAATGTGCTTATGTTTGTGTCTCCTAAAAGTATCAAAATTGTGATGGTCAAGGAGGGAGGCACCCCTCTTTCAGCTAGTGTAGTGCAACCCAGTTGTCATAGTGATTATTTTCTAGTTTTCCCTGCCCTGCTTTTATTATTAGGGCTTTGAAAGTAGAATGCTTGCTTCCCAAGCACCTTGTGCAAATAGGGGTTTCTTATTTGGAAGGCAGTGAAGCCCCAAACACTTGTAGCAAAGGGAGCCCCAAAGGCGCTTCTGGATAACCATGGTCTTCTAGGTTTCCTGGAGGCTCGGGAGAAAGTCTTAATCACCTTAGGAGTCTGTGCTCACATAGCACCCTACTCACAGAGGACGTCAGCTCTCTGACCTTTAGTGAAGTCTTGCACTTCACTAAAACAATCATAATTTTAGAACCAGGATAGAAGGCTGACTTCATATCCCAGCTGCAGTGTCAACTTGGGACAGCTGTTTTCTCCAAAGAAAGCCCACTTTGCACGTATATGAAGGGAGGGCAGGGGAATAGGGAAAAAATAAAAACCAAGATATATTATGTAAAGGTACAAATTTCCAATGAAAAATCTCATCATATTGTATATCTAAAATGTACCAATGAATTCAATTAAAAAAAGAAAAGAAGTATAGTCTAGTCAACCTGTACTTGGGGAAGGTAGAAGAAAGGTGCTACATTCCAGACTTTTTTGAGAATCTGAAGAAAGCTTTAGACTCAAAATTATATATTTTACATACAGTATCAGTGGGTAGCAGACTTCTTAAAGCCTCTCCATGAACACAATAGCTGCTGCTGGAATCCAGACACAGATCTCTGGAATAAACTCTAGCTGAAAGTAAAATGTTATGACTCTGCAGGGGAAAATGCAAAATTAAACAATAAAATCAACAGCAAACCCCTAGGAAGCCTACAACAGAATCCAATTTTTCAAATGGTTCTGATTTTTTGAATATGGTAATTAGCTTTCATTTGCATCCAATTTCCAAATGTGATTCATAGTATAAATTCTGAGTGATTCAACCCAAGGAATCTCCCCCATGTCCACCTGTTCCTCTCTGTAGATCACCTGCAGCTTTTCACAAATTCTCCAGCATCTCCTCTGTTCTCCAGATACACAGCATACAGGGGTCTGGACAGGGCTGACCATCTCCTTTTGAAGCTCTGCACACCTCGCCTTTGCTCGGGCTCCTGCATCTATCATTCTTACTGCTCCGTGTCTGCGTGCAGAGGTAACACCACTTTTCAGTTTATGCTGAGGGTGACTTGCAAGATGATGAAACTACTAAGTGGACTCGAATTAGGGGAAAATAAGCTCTAGACTAAGGAAAGATGGAGAAGCGAAACATCTGAACCACAAGTGGTAATAATGTTGGTTTAATTATGTGTTAGATTTGGCTTTGCAATTCCTTAGCACCAGGACACAAAAGAAAATCTAGCATATTTCTTCCTACAGGCAAAATAGAAACAGTCAAATTCCTCATGGGACACAATTACATTTTTTTTATCCTGCCAATAAATTTTGAAAAAGATTTCTCATGTGACACCTTGTGAAAATAAAAACATGGTGTACTAAGAAGTGTTTTGGAATACTAGCAATTATATGCACATGTATTTCTTGGATGTATAATGAAGGCCTAACAGGCCTTGGTATTTGGGATCCAAAGTGAAAACGAAAGGGTCCAGAATTCTGTGGGACTCGCACAGGACACTAAATGTAAACTGGTCAATCCCAGAACGATAAGAGAAGGCAGCAGGAAGCACAGAATGGAGAAGATAGGAAGACTGCCCACAGGATGGTGCATTTCATTCATTCATTCACTCATTCACTCACTCATTAGGACAGATACGTCGGCCTCTGAGGACATGATCCCAATGATGCTTAGGATTAGGTTCAATGCTTATGGCTCAGATGCAAGCCCTTAGGACATATCAGTGAACAAGATGGATGACTTTTTGCCCTCTGGGAGCTCACCTTACAATAACAGAAGCAGAAAGTAAAACAATTGACATATGTATGTTTGAATGTGTCTTTAAGGTCAATGATAAAGAAATCCAGAAAAAAATCAAGCAAGAAGGAAAGAAAGGAAGAAAGAAAGAAAGAAAGAAAGAAAGAAAGAAAGAAAGAAAGAAAGAAAGAAAGAAAGAAAGAGGGAGGGAGGGAGGAAGGAGAGAAGGAAGGAAGGAAGAAAAGAAGGAAAGAAAGACGTTAGCCTTGCTGTTTTAACACTCATGAACTTCTGGTGTCCTCCAAGGAAGAGTATTTGAGCAGAGCCCAGAGTCAAAGAAAGGGAAAACATGGAAATACATCAGAAATAAATCTTCCCAAAAAAAGGATCAGAAATTTTATAAGCCAAAATATTTAAATTTATGAACTGAGTTTTTGTATTAGCTTTCCTCTTTCTAGAACAAAATGTCTCCTACCCGAAACTTAAAGGAGGGGGAGCTTATTGTAGCTTACAGCTTCAGTCCATTGTCAGCTGGTGTTAAGGCAGAAGCATGGTAGAAGGGCCTTGTAGATAAATATGCCACTCATACTAATCTGGGAAGTAGAGGCCAGAAGAAGAAGCTAGAGAGCAAAGGGCCTGGAGCCGAATTAGTCCTCAAAGTCGTGCCACCATGACCCACTCAGACACACTCAAAATGTGCTACACTTGTGTACTAGGCATCTCCCAAGCCAAGTAAGTTGACAGTCAAGATTAACCATCACAGTTGTGTGTTCCAAACTGTATATATAAGGCTTTGATTCTCTGACTACCAGAAACTTAGAATATGACTCTATTAGGAAATAGGGCCTTTAAAGATATAACTCAGTTAACACGAGGTCATTAAAGAGGGTTACAACCCAATATGGCTGAAGCCCTTATAAGAAAAGGAGACTGAGACGCAGACACAGAGAGAAAACCCAATGAAGTCATAGGGTGAAGCCAAGCATCTACGAACAAGAAAGACCAACTTCAGAAGAAATCAGTACTATTGATATTTTAGTCTCAGATTTCTAGTCTTCAGATCTGGGAAAGAATTAATTTCTGTTGTTTGAGGCACCCAGTTTGTAGAGCTTTGATATGGCTGTCCTAGGAAATGAGCACACATCCTGATAGGGTGATTTGTTTAGCATTTGTCATGGGGAGCAAATTGCCAGAGCAGATTGAAGGAAGAGGGAGCTAGAAAAAGCTGATGTCTGAGTGGAAGTCCTCAGAAGCTCTTTTTTTTGAAGACATGTGGACGTCCCTGGTCACATCCCCTTCACCTGACTCTGTTCATCTGTGGTTATAGGCACTTGCTAATAATGTCCTCCCTATAGGCCTGCTGCTCTCCACTCACTTGCTTGAAGGTTTTCCCTACATCATGAAGACAGAATTCATTCAGAGTCAGAGCATGTTTCCTGCTCCAGAGTTTTAATGTGCCCAGGAGCAATCCTCAACCAATGAGAAATAAACACAGTTGAACATGTGCCCACATCCCTAGATACAATTCTGAAGCATCCCTCACTGAGACACAATATCCAACACTCACCTCTTAAAGGGGGAGGAGATTAATTTGGCTCATGGTTTCAGGTAATTCAGTCCTTGGTTAGCTAACTCCAAGGCAGAAACATCACAGTGGAAGAAGGTGACATAGGAAATTGTTCATGGCATAGTTGATGGCAACTGGGCAGCAAAACACAGAAACAGAACCAGAGGGAAAGGGATCAGAGAGCATATATATAATACCAAGGTCATGCTTCCCTGATGCACCGAGACATACAACCAATGTGCTTTGGTAATCTGCTAGGTGATTCTTAAACCAATCAAGTTGAAATATCAGAGTTAACAGCCACAAATATCCTATGAGATTTCTCAGTGTGAGAGAAAGATTTTATCCTAGCTGTGTACACTGATTATCTATTTATTAGAATCCCCTTTCTGGATTTGTTCCCTTTTTCACTTTAATCTCAATAAACTGTTTGAACTCAATGTTTGTTGTAGAATCTGTTTTGGAAATATCCCAAAGTAAGTTAGAATTTTAGACTTTTTTTCCAAAATGATTATTTGGGGAGGATTTTGAGCAGGGACATAATATAACCTAATTTTATTTTACTGGAGTATTTTTCTGGCTCCTTTTTGACAACTTAGGTTGGAGCTCAAAAAATCAGTGATATTTTCAAGGCATTCCAGCCATAAGAATGCAAGTATGAAGAAGGTATCTTGCAGATAGAGGAAAGTTGGGTTCACCTGCAGCTGGGTAAGATCTAGCCCTCTGAGTGTCTGCCTAAAATAATCTCAACTAAGAGTGGGTGACATCATCTCTCCCTTAATCAATGTTTTCATTTGTCTTTAGAAGAGATGTTTAAGCCAGATTTCTAGTATTGGACTCAGTTGCCAGGTGGATAAAAATGAGAAACCATTAAAAAATTTAACAAATTTGGAGCTGGCTAAGACAGGCCTTGTTGTTATTAGTGGATAGACGAAGAGTGGAAATGACTTTCCTCGGGTCAGTCACCACAAAATTAGGCCATTTTTAAGAAACAAAGCTGTGGCATATTCTTCAATGTACCCGCAGTAGAACAGATAATGAGTGCTCAGATTCAGTGATGACCAATGAATGAACAAATTAGAAGTAAGGATCTTAGTCCACTCTTCATTTCCCCACATAACATCAATGCCTGGTAAAATTCCAAAATTTGTTCCCTGTATCCTGTATCCTCCTGTCTCCTGTCCTGTGCTATATCCTTCAAACTATTGTGACACCTTGCAGAGGCTTTCTGAAAGTCTGAAAAAAGCTCCTGAAATTTTCTGCAAACAATAAAAATCAAAGTAGATGTTTTATCAGCTTCTACAGCCTTCAAACAAACTCGGTGTCTCTCTGGACTTTAACATTGTTCCTATGCACCTTATCTTATTTTTTAATCAAATAAATAAATTTTTTCTATGAAAAAAAGAAATGAATTAACATTTCCTGAGCACCTGGGACTGTTGCTGGCCCTTTACATGTCTTCTTTGGTCTCCACAGGTACAAATAAAGAGGCAGTAACACAGACACATTGGGCTACTTGCTTAAGGACACAGAAAACAAATAGCAAAGCTTGGAATTTGCCCCAGACATCAATCATCAATTAACCCATACCTTTCAGGGCCTCTCTCTCTCTCTCTCTCTCTCTTCTCCCCATCCAATCAATGGATTTTACAGGGTACCTGATGGTTCTAAGGTATTGTTCAGAAAATCACTCTTTCCACAGAGGAATAAATTAACATCATTAGGAAGGTAACTATGCCACATCTGGTCATCTCCCTCTGTCACCCTCCTGATCTTTCTTATTTGTGTTCAGACATAATTACCTACATGGTATTTTGGGATGTCATTTAGTGTTTCTATGTGTAGGTTTCTCCTTGTCTACAATGAGCATTTGTGGGATATTCTCCAAGGGTCCTAAAATCTGTAAAATTCTGTAGTTCTGTGGAAGGAGTAAAGGAGAGGGTGTATTTATTTTAGTGACATTATTGTCCCCAGTCCAGTGCTTGGCATAGTTGAGATAACTAGACACAAATGGCTTCTGTAGGCTGAGAAATAGGTTTGTTATCAGCCAGTGGGTAGTGGGTCCAAATACTTCTTTAGAGAATTGATCTCACGCTTTGATATGATTGATGGAATCTTTGTTCCAAGAAAGTCAGAAATGAGTCAAAAACCAACTTACAAACATCTTGCACATGGTGTGGCCTAATCCCAGCTTTCTTCCTGCAGGTAATCTTGATTGACAAGTAAAGGAGCTTTCTATTACCCTATAATTCCATAGAGAAAACCCCAGAATAAGAAGGGTTTCATTAATCTAATTAAATTACCTTTCACAAAATAGGTGTAGAATTTACTTCTCTGGCCATCAGCATTGTTTCCTGAAAAATGGAACCATGATCCTGCCTGGTGTGTCTCACATAGCCTCCAGAAGGGTTGTAATAATTGTCTTGTTTGACACTGTACATGGCAATGTATAATGCAACTGAAACAATTACCAACCTGAACTGAATGTGCAGTGGCCCATTAGGAGCAGGGCTCTACACAGGCCCTTTCCAGTCAGTGTTCAACAGGTAATGATCTATTTTATATGAATGTGTGGGAAACCTGATGGAAAAGGGAAAGCATCAGCCTTTGTCACCTTAGTGAGAACAGGTTTCTGGTCCTTTCCTATGCAAGTTTGGAAGTGAGATGCATGAAGATGAGGTCACATCATGCACAGGGGCCTTTGTGCACTGGGTGAAGAGCTCTAAATGGGGGAGACAAGATGAGGTAATGGACTCTTCCCCTAAGATACAGCCTTCAATCAAACATAGTGTTTTGGAGTTAGACTAAAATCCTTTGAGAGTTATTATTGTACAGTGTGCTCTTAGCTTAGTTACACAACTTCCCTGAACCTCAGAATCCTCATGTACAGCAGGCCTGTCTTGGGGACTCCTGGAAAGATGAAACCTATTGATGGATGTAGAGTGACCCACGGTGCCTGACCTGCAGAGACACTGGATGGAGTAGTTCCACTCACTGCCCTCTTGCAACTCTGGGGCTGACTACACTGCAGTATGTTGCTTTATTTCCAAATGGATACAAGATTAGAACTAGACAGCAATTTCAGTGTCACACATTTTGTACTGAATTCTCACTCTGCATTAACACCTGTATCTAGCCCACACCTTGTGGATAACTTGTTCTGTGCTTTGGGCAAGACTATCTCAAAACCTCCATTTTTCAATGAAAGCTGGGCAATTTATCCACAAATTTCCCTTTTAGCTCTAACAACCTCAGAAGTCACTGGGTGTAAACACTGGGCCTATGACAGCAATCATTTATTTGGCGTTTACTATATACCATGAGAATGCTTGACAAGTGTAAGCTCATACAGTCCTCCATACAGCCCTCTGTGATGGCCCCTTTTACCATTCCTTGTTTTTTAGAAGTGGAACCATAAGCATAGAAAAGTTAAATAACCAGGTTTGGGTCACAAAAATGGAGTCTTCCAAATCCAAAACCAAGGAATTTAGCTAAAGACCTAAGATGCCTTTTTGCACAAATGCTCCCTTTAAATGAGATGCTCATCTAGCCCCACTTAGCAGTAATAAAACTGAGTCTCAGCCATTCTGCAAAGGCCTCAGAAAATTGTCAGGCCATGCCTTGTACCCAAGGCTCTCCGGCACTGACACCTGCTCTCTTGAACACTGTGGGAGAAGATTTGCTGGCCAGGAATGCTGTCCCAGCTGAGATACCAATGACCACTTTGAGTCAGCCCCTCCTGTTTTAAGTCTCTGCTGATTGTGGTTTATCCTGTTCTAGGAGGGTTTCCCACCAACTTGAGAGCTGGCTGCGGAGGAGAAAGCCTACAGGTGAGCATACAGATGTGTCCATTTAGATTTATGAGATGCTAAATCAAGTTCCCAAAGAACCAGATTAATCACAAGAAGTTATTTTCCTTTTAATTAAAAAATATTATCAGCTCTGGCCCTGCTGATTCTCAGAGCAGACAATAAGGGTGAGCATAGCAAGTGAGCAATATTAATTTTCCCCAACTAATTTAAAGATAATATCCCTCAGATGTGCCGACAGCTCACAAGTATGTTTGTGTGCCAGGCCACACTTTGCCCCTGGGCTCTGTCTGAGTCTCCTCCTTCTTATTATTTCTACTTTGGAGGCATCCTCAAGGAAGGAGACAGGCAGAACACAGGACAAGTGATGCCACTAGACACAACCATCCTTGTTAGGAAGGACAGTCATCAGGGAATATGGCTGAGGGGAAGCACTCTTCAGCTAAGAACTGAGAGAACACATACTTTTAAAAATGAGTTTTAAAGTCAGATTCAGCTCTGACTTTATGTAACCATAGTTTTTGTATTGGGTTATGTGCTCCCATAAATTCAGATGTTGAAAACCTAATCCCCACTACATCACAATGTGACTGTATTTGGATAAAGTCATTAACTTAAAATGAGACCATTAGAGTTGGCCCTGATGTAATATGATTAGTTTTCTTTTTCTTTTTTTTTTTTTTTTGAAGAAGAAGAAGTGGAGGAGGAGATTAGGATACAAAGGCATATAGGGGGATGAACTTGTGAGGGTACCATGAGAAGGCAGCTATCTGGAAGCCAAAGAGAGAGCTCTCAGGAGACAGGAACCTTGTTGACACCCTGATCCTGTACTCAGGAACTGCAAGGAATTAAACCTCTATTTTTTAAACCACTCAATGTGTTAATTTTTTTGTCACAACAGCCCTGGCAAACTAGTATGCATAAGAAGACCTATTTCATTCTCAGTCCAAATATATTAAATATGAAGGATGAAAGAATTGATCTTCACAGTTCTGTATCATTCTGGTTTTCTTAGCTGGGCTTTTGGAGTGGCTGTGTAGCTTGTAGATATCATTCTCTGACACCAAGGTAAGGATGTTGAATGCTGTTATGGTTTGGATCAAGAATATCCCCCAAAGTCTTTGTGTACTCATAGGTGGGGCTTTTGGGAGATGATTGAATCATGGGAGAGATATAGGTAACTTGCTGCTAGACCGGGTCTGAATGAGGTCAGTGTAGCTACCTCTCTGGCTCCTCTCTTTTTTTCTCTGCTTCCTGGTTGCCATGACAAGAGGAGATTTCTTTTGCTACGCCCCTTTGCCATGCCCTTTCTTCCCTGGAGCCAG